TCCAGATGCCCTGTCCTTCCTAACAGATGTTGCTATTATTAACAGTATAATTCGATTCTTTAAAAAAAGGATTTATAAACAAGTTATGGTAACATAAGGCCAGGAAGGGAGGCTATTTTAAAGTTCTTCTGCTATATAAAACCCATATAATGTCACTAAAAGATAGATGATAAATTAATATTGTGTGCTAAACCTCCAAGGCAACTGTTAAAATAACAAAACAGAGTTATAGCTAAGAAGCCAAAAAGAGATACTCAAGAAGGTAGAAATGAGAAAGAAAGAGAGAGAAAGGAAAGAACAGATGAGCTAAATAAGAAACAAATGACTTAACCATGTCACATTAAATATAAATGGTCTAAGCATTTGAATTAAAAGACAGAGATTGTTGGATGGGATAAAAAAAAAAAATTGCAAGACCAAACTATGTGCTGTCTTCAAAGAAGCATTTTATATAAAGACAAAAATAGGTTAAAAGTAAATTAGTAGGGAAAATATGTGCCCTGTTTATATTAGTCACAAAAAGTTGGGAAAGCTATATTAATAGAGGCAAATTAGATTAAAAATAAAAAAAAACAGGAATATTAAATGTAATCTCAAAATAATAAAATGGTTAATTATTCAGAAGGACAGAATAATAGATACTCTTCTAATGTCAAAACCTCAAAATCATGAAGTAAAAATATATAAAAATGCAAAGACAGATAGAGAACTCAAAGATTTCATTATTCCTCTCTCAATAATTAATAGCAGATAAAAAGATCTAAATTTCTTAACTCATATGTCAGAAAATAATGGTGACTATAATCAACAATTATCCTTAAATATTCAGAAGTACATCAATAAGAAACATTTATGACTATATTTTGGGGCTGTTAGTCAGCTATAATCAAATTTTAGGTGCTATGTTATGAAAGCCAGATGTGTGAATCACAAACATCTGGAACTAGCAACACATGACAGATTAAAAGCTTTGGAGTCAGGCACACTTGAGTTCTTACCAATTATGTGATCTGGGCCATATTACTTAACTTCTTGAAGTCTGAGCTTCTTCATTTGTAATGTTGGAATAATAATGGCATGACTAGGACCTGTTATTACAGTATTACCTCTTATTATATAACAATTTGAAGGAATCGATTGCAAGTAATTTAACTCCTGTCACGTTCCCATTTGTCTGATTGAACTCTTTGCTTCTTCCTCTGCTCTTTGTCTTGAAAAAATGATCCTATTGCCCTGCAACACTATTAAATGTAAATGTCACTAACAAGATGGCTTTGAGACTAAGAGTCATTTTCTATGCAAAGAAACACTGCCCTTTGTTTTGTCCCTGTAGCTGCCTCTCTTACACTATTCAAATGTTCAAGACTTGGCTCAAGAAAATTATCATCAGTGACTGTTAGAGAAGTTTATCTGAGATTATGTTCAACCAATCCAAGATCATCCCAAGCAGGGCCTTTAAACTATAAAACTTTTAGTATTATGTAAATACAAGTGGTCCAAGGAGCACTGTAGGAGGAGTGAACTTAATTGCACCTCTGTTAAAAAGTAGCTATCAGAGGGGCTGGGGTTACAGCTTAGCTGTACAACGCTTGCCTTGCACATGTGAGGCACTGGTTTCAATTCTCAGCACCACATAAAAATAAATAAATAAAATAAATATATTGCATTCATCTTTAAAAAAAATCTTTTAAAAAATGGAGCTATCAGATCCTCACCAAATCCCTGACCTCTTTGAGTTACAATTTTCATACTCACAAAATGGCAGAATTTGACATCTATGGTCACTTGGTTCTTCCCAGTCCTATGTCACCAGGAATGATTATCTGAAAACATAAAGTTTCAAAGATGTCAGTTATTCATTCACTCTTTTATTTATCTACTAATTGAATAAGTATTTATTAAATGCCAGGCACTGTTCTAAGTTTTTGGGAATTCCACAGTAAAGCAAAAAAAAGAAGAAGTCCTCACTTTCAAGAATTTCTGATTTCTTGCAGAAAACAAATGATAAACTAAACATTAAATATATAACATGATGATGACTAGAAAAAAATTGAGGAAAAAATTCTATTAAAAAGGCAATATATCAGTTGGTCCAATCTGTTGACCTAGTTCTTGGTCAGTCATTCTGACACAAAAAGGGAAGACTGCCTTTCTTTCTTGAGCAAGTCGAGAAGAATGAGCAACTGTCTTTCAGACACATGATTAAAAGTACAAAAAAAAAGTGGCAAATTTGATGAAAAAAAAAAAAAGAAAACTTCCCTTTACAGAAAAGAATTCAGACATAATAGATGAGAGTTTGTTAGTGGACCAAAGATAAATGAGGAATGCCAGGCACTGAGCTTTTAATACACACTAGGGGCAATGTACATGTTAACTCTGTATTCATCAGTCCAACCTTTGTCTACAGTATCATTATCATTTTTCTCATTGTGAACATAAGAAATTAAAACTTAGTAAGTCAAGTAATCTGGTGAGACTGTGCCAGCACTAATCTGGTGAGACTATGCACAGCACTAAGTTTAAAATCAGTTCTCTTCCACTCCTTTAAGAGGGTGGAAGAGGCTGACCATTATAAGGAACTTGAGGAGCAAAGTGAAATTAATCCACTCTCTCTCACCATGCACAAAACTCAACCCAAAGTGGATAAAGGACTTAGGAATTAGACCAGAGACCCTATACCTAACAGAAGAGAAATCAGGCCAAATTTTTATCATGTCGGATTAGGTCCTAACTTCTTTAACCAGATTCCTAAAGTGCAAGAAATAAAATCAAGAATTAATAAATGAAATGTATTCAAACTAAAAAGCTTCTTCTCAGCAAAGGAAATAATCAATAATGTAAACAGAGTGCCCACAGAATGGGAGAACATCTTTACTATCCGCACATCAAATAGAGCACTAATCTCCAGGATATATAAAGTACTCAAAAAACTTAACACCAAAAAAATAAAAAACCCAATCATAAATGGGCCAGGGAACCAAACAGACACTTCTCAGAAGAAGATAGACAATTGATCAACAAATACATTTAAAAAATGTTCAACCTCTCTAGTAATTAGAGAAATACAAATCAAAACTACTCTAAGATTTCATCTCACTCCAGTCAGAATGGCAATTATCAAGAATACAAGCAATAATAAGTGTTGCTGAGGATGTGGAGAGAAAGGTATACTCATACATTGCTGGTGGCACTGCAAATTGGTACAACCACTATGGAAAGCAGTATGGAGATTCCTTAAAAAACTTGGAATGAAACCACCATTTGACCCAGTTATCCCACTCCTCAGTTTATACCCAAAGACTTAAAATCAGCATACTATAGTGACACAGCCACATCAATGTTCATAGCAGCTCAATTCACAATAACTAAACTGTGGAACCAACCTAGATGCCCTTCAACAGATGAATGGATAAAGAAAGTGTGGTATATATACACAATAGAATATTACTCAGCATTAAAAGAGAATAAAATTATGGCATTTGCAGGTAAATGGGTGGAGTTGGAGAATATCATGCTAAGTGAAGTTAGCTAATCCCAAAAAATCAAAGGCCAAATGTTCTCTCTTATAAGTGGATTTTGATCCATAACTAGGGAGGACAGGGGATGGCAGTGTAGGGAGAATGGAGGAACTTTGATTGGGCAAAGGGGAAGAAGGAGGGAAAAGGATGGGGGTTGGGAACGGGAAAGATTGTGAAATAAGATGATCATCATTACCCTAGGTAAATGTATGACTATACATATGGTGCAACTCTACATTGTGTACAACCAGAGAAATGAAAAGTTGTGCTCCTTTTTGTACAGTGAAGTGAAATACATTCTTCTGTCATGTATAACTAATTAGAATTTTTTTTAAAAAAATTTTTTTTTAAAAAAATGCATGTACAGTTGAGCTCCCCCAACCTGAAAGTCCAAAATCCAAAATGCCCTAGAATCTGAATTTTTTTTGAGCACTGACATGATGCCACAAGTGGAAAATTCCACACCGGATCTTATGTGATGGGTCACAGTCAAAATGCAGATGCATTAAAAATATTGAACACAATTACCTTCAGCCTATGTGCATAAGGAACATATGAAACCTAAATGAATTTTATGTTTAGACTTGGGTCCCATTCCCCAAGATATTTCATAAGTGTATGCAAATATTCCAAAATCCAAAGAATCTAAAATCTGAAAACACTTCTGCACTCAAATATTTCAGAAAGAGACTCTCAAGCTGAATATACTTACATGAGGATATTATAAATTTACCAATATAAATATATGTGATACAATTGTAAGATAATAAGCTACTCAGTGGTCCTTCGTGAAGACCCATACTGTTCATTGATTCTCAGAAAGGCTTTTGTTGATTTTTGTTAAATAATGGTTGCAATTTAGTGATGGTTTGACAAATGGAGTTGTATCTCAATCTCTTTTCCCAGTATATTTATTGTCACTATCTATGAGATCTATTTATAAACTAACTATTATGTAGAAAAAAAAGGAACTTGAAATTCTTGATGGTGAGCTGTTGTTATTTAACCAACCACACACAGAATGTGGTGCGCCTTAGCAAACTACACAATCATTTGTATTATAAAACCATAGTTTCATATTGAGGATTAAACATGTACTATCTATCAGAAAACTTAAGACTAATCTTGGTTTTACAGGAAAAGAAAATCCTTCCAGATTTTATTTAATAAAGCAGATTGAACTGAAAAGTGAAAAAGGAGAAAGGCGGAAGGAGTTCAAAAAAGGCAACAAAACAGTGTAGGGCTTAATTCAGTTCTATTATAAAATAGATGAAAGACCATAATGTGGAGCAAACATTACCAACATCTTCAAAACTTTCATTTGTTTGGAAGCTGTTGGTTTTTGTCTGGTTGTAATTGTGACAAAATCTCTATTGTTTAAATAATTATTTCAACTAATTGAACATGAGTGGGTTTGATTCTTTTGCCATACTTTCAATTCTTGGCCTGATTCTTATTTTTATTTTAAATATTAAAATATTTATGACTAAAACATCCAAGCAACATTCTCCTCCAGGACCCAAACCTTGGCCAGTTATTGGAAATCTGCACATCCTCAATCTGAAGAGGCCATATCAAACCATGCAAGAGGTAAAAAAAGAAAAAATATATATTGTTAATTTGATTCTTATTTATAATTTCTAAATCAGTCTTGCCCTAGTATGTTTATTAGTATGCATATTAACAACAGTTCCTATATGTATTGGGAGGGAATTTAGGTAGTATTTGAAATTAACATATCTGCTTTAAATTTGAACATATGTTAAAAATTAGCACAAATACTTCTATTTTGAAAGCAGTATTTTAACACTAAAATATTTTAAACTTGTACTTGCATTTTCACATATAACCTGCTACAAAAGAATTGAATTTGTAGTAATAGTCTTACTCTAGAGTCTTCAATTTAACTACTCAAAACATTGTACAAAAATTACAATCAAGATTGTGTCCCCCAAAATTTAGTTCTGGATATGCCATTAATTTGCTGTGTGAATTAGCCAGTGTCTTTGTTTTCTCATCTGTAAATTTACAGGGCTGGACAAAGTGCTAGACCAATTTCTCTAATTTTCCACTATGATTCTGTAGCTATTGATTATGGAGCTACGTAGGTAATACAAAGACTCGAAGTTGGCATTTAGTTATAAATTTTAAGTTCCAAACAGCATGTAACTGCTGTATTCTATAACTTTTCAGTATAAAATCTTAAGGGGAATTTACTGAAAGAAAAATCATTATTTTATCTCAGTGGGTATAATAAAAATACCTATATTTGTGTTGCATTTTGTTTATTAAAGCACTGTAAGAATTACACTTAATCCTCACAATCATCCTAGAGGAAAAAAAGGGGTGAAGTTTTCATCTTCATTTTACAGATATGTGTGGTTCTTTCTCCAACATCCAAAGGTCACAAAACAGGTTCATTCTTCAGAAAAACATGGCCTTCCTTCAATAAATCCTTCTTTTAAGTCCCTGTGCCCCAACCTCAATTGTTGATTCCCACACCATTCCTGTCCTTCACTTACATATTCACCAGCCTAATTTATGATTTAGTCTTTCATTTTTACCTTCTACATTGTTCTGAATTAATTCCATCTGTAAAATATCCTTTCTTCCCTTTTCCCAACTTCTATAATTTTTTTTCATAAAATTTCCCTCTCAGAATTGTTTTCTTTGCCTCACTCCTGCTACATCACCTTACATATGAAGGTTCCTAAGAGACTGTCATTACCACATCAAATTCCCATTTCAATTTTCACTCCCTAGAATACTAATCTTAATTATATTAATTTCCTACATCACTGAGCCCTTCTGCAATTTCTTTCGCAATTCTAATGGATTTTTTCTTTTTCTTTTTTTTTTAAGTTTTCTTTTAAATTTTGCGATACTGGGGATTCAACTTAGGGGCACTTAATCATTAAGCTACACTCCAAGTTCTTTTTATTTTTTATGATTTTTTTCTTTTTTGATTTTACTTTAATGTTTTACTTTGGTTTTATCTTTTACTTTACCTAAGTTGCTGAGACTAGCATGGAACTTGCAGTCTTCCTGCCTCAGCCTCAATCACTGAGATTAGAAGTTTGCACTGCGGTGCCAACTTCTCTAATTGTCTTTTCATTGCTTGACCATTTTTCTGTATTTTATTGAAAATTTTTCTTTAAAAAATTCTTCCCAATTACCACAGTGAACTGGGGACCATAATTACAGTTCAGACTGTGGCATAAAAAACAGCACACATTCCATCAAGATCACATCAAACCCTTTCATTCAAAAGAATCCAATGCACAAGTGTCAAATATAAACACTGTCTTTTTGTTATTTATTAGAAGGGGAGAAAATATTCATTTATTTTGGCAGTACTTTTACAGTTTCAGGAAATGGCTTTGATGTCACAAGTTACAGGAATAGGAACCATAACAAACTTGGAGGGCATTTCTTTTTTTTTCTTCCCCCCCCCCCGCCCCGTTACCGGGGATTGAATTCAGCAGTGCTTTAACACTGAGCCATATCCCCACAGTCATTTTTATATTTTTATTTTGAGATAGGGTGTCAGTAAGTTGCTTAGGGCCTCTCTAAGTTGCTGAAGCTGGTTTTGAACTTGAATCCTCCTGACTCCTCAGACCCTGCCCCCTTAGCCTCCTTCAGGCATGTGCCACTTGCCCAGCTAAAGGGCATTTGTTTGAGAGGCACAGGACTCTGTGGTTGAAAAAAATTCTTGTGCTGGCCACTGAGTCTTCCTGGGTGTTTAAAGATAAAATGGAATTTCCTACACAGACATTGTTAAGCACTCTTGTAGAGCAGAGTGTTTCCTGTATCTCCAACCCTCCACTCATGCCGAAGCAGACTCTCTCACTTTTCTGGAGCTTCTTGTGGTCATATGACCTTCTATTAGGCCACCCTTTGGCTAAAATGTACTTGCACTTGGCGCCAAGTTCCCTCTTACACTGCTTCTCTAGAGTTCAGATGACAGCACAAAACATGACTTGTCCAAAAATAACAGATATTAAGAACATGAACATTTATTTATGTTCATGAAAATAGCAAACACTTTGTAGGATATCTCACTCAATGGGGCATTATTTTGGCTTAATACGGCCCTCTGGGGAGTTAGCACAGGTTAATACACTTGAGAGACTTTTTCAAAGGATTGGTTAAAGTAAGTTGATTTGACAAGTAGGAATTGTCTCATGCCAATTAAAAAATTCATCGTCCAACAATTCAATGGTTCATAAAGCAATTAAATATAACCATCCTGTTCACACACACACACACAAGAACCGCGGCAAAATGATTGACCAGATTAGTTTTGTGACTATGTTCTAAAAGGACAATGAAATTTCAAATTTGAAGTGTCATATTCAAGTATTTAAAAATGTAAAAAATAGTTTGATTACCCTTGATTTTAAGATTATAAGAATCATAGTCATGTAGCCAGGGCTTCTGGAGTCAGTGAAGTTAACTCCTAGGACACAAAATATTCGACAAAAATTAATTTGTCATTTGTAAAAGTACAGCTATTTGTTTATTATTTTTTAAAAAAATACATGGAGACCTTGAATACTGTGGCATCCCAAAATATAAGTGAGAGTGATATCGGCCGACCTTTCTGTCTGACACTGGTGGGAAATGGTTTTACACATTTTTCTGTCAATTCAAAGAGGAGGCAGAAGGAATCTAATGTTTTTTCTAAGGACAATTTTTATGAGGAAAGGAGCATTTAAAGTTGTCATCTCATTCTCTGCCAATGTTACTTGGGTTAATACCACAGGTTCCATAGCCAAGAAACTACAACAATATGTGCCCCCAGCTCCACAGATGAGCAGCACTATTTACTCTGTGATTTCCTAAAGTTACAATTCCTTGCCTATACAATGAAGGTGATAAAATCTACTTTGCTGTTTTATAAAGTGCTGGGGTCCAGCTGGGGGTTGGGGGGGGGGGAGTGGGGATTCCAGGGGTCCTTAAGGATGAGTGGCGTCAACAAAAGAAGAGTTGAGATCACAGGTTGCAAGTTACAAGCAGCCTCCAGAAGAAATCTTGCTTCCCCTAGAGGGACCTTTATTTTTATACCTTTTTTACAGGTGTTTTTTCAGGTAGTTAATGGATACCTTCAAAGCCCGAAACTTCTTTGATTTATATAATTTCCAAGAGTTACAATCTTTTCTGAGATACATTGATTACCTAAGATATTGAGTACATTGTTCAAAATATTTTTCTGTAACCTTAATCAATCATGATTAAGCTTTTATGTTTTCATGTCAAACACTAGGTGCTAGGCGACGCAATTATGCTACATGTCTCCTGACCTATTATTCACTTCTAACTTTAAAGTACACCTATAATTATTTCATTAACCTTTAACTTTAAAGCATACTTATGATTAATGGTAAGCTTTCTTACTTCTAAACTAAAATCCCATTAAAACACACTTAAAGTAGTGAAAGTCTATTATTTAAAAGCCTACTACCCTGAAGTGCCTCTAAAATATATCTATGTTAATTTTACATTATTTTATTTTTAATTTCCAAGGTAATTTCTTTTTTTCATAGGACCAATTTAACTGCTTACTTACAGCGTTTCCTTGATCCTTGGACAAAGCACACCAATTCTTATGTCTTTGTAATCTTTAACTAAAGGGCAGGCTTTACACCTCAACCCATTTGTCATTTATATTAACCATTTTCATCATAAATTTCTGTGTAAGGCAAAGGAGGATCTGTTGGTGGGAGGAATGTTTTTTTTTTTAATTTTTTATCGTGGGTTGTTCAAAACATTACAAATTTCTTGACATATCATATTCCACACTTTGATTCAAGTGGGTTATGAACTCCCACCTTCACCCCATATATTTTTATTAGCCTCTTGTCCTTGATGGGGATACCATAAGCTACAAATAGTGGTCCTTGTACTGTTGGCACAGAAATTGTTTTTCTATAGCTAGGCTGTTGTATAGGTTGTGGCTTCAGGACGGGGTTGGGGGGTTAGTATAAATTGTTAACCATGGGATAAATATTTCTTGTTTTTAGGCTTGAGGAATAAGATTATTGTTTGTATCCTGAGAGAGATTGAAACACACCTCATGGCATATCTCAATTATATCCTTAGTCTCATTCTGGGAATTTTCCTGCAATCTCAGGCAATATGTACTTTTATTACTGATTGACGTATGCCCTGTTATTCATATCATGAGTATCATAAACAAAACACTTAACATTCCCAGTGGTTCCGGTTTCCAGATGGATTGGCCCTGCCACAGAATCCCCTACTCTGTGACCCTGTCAGACAGTGAGTACAGGAAGGCCTTCACCAATGAAGCACACTGAAGAAAATAATGGTGCTTGGAATATAGTCAGGAGGCAATAAATGTTGGCTCTTAGTACTTCCAATTATCAAAGAAAATGGAGAGTAACAACATGGTCTACTAAGACCATAGCACCCCATAGGAATAGGGTGTAAATATAGTTTTCGGGTGTCAAGTGTGGTAGTAAGCAAATTTTTGTCTCCTGAGAGTCCTGGCTGGGTATATTCTGATATCAAACAAAAGTATAATGTCAGAGCATCGTTAGTACAAAATTTGAAACAAAGTAGAGTGAGTATACAATCAAACGATGATTATAAAAATGACCCTGAATGGTGAAATAACTGCAGGAATATCCATAGTAAAACAATCCAAAATTCTGACTTTATCTGATCACAAAACTGGTTAGTTTTTTGAACTTCACCAATTTCCCAAAGGTCAAGATCCAGTTCACTTTTTACCATACTACAATGTTTTAATCATTTTTCTTTTTCTCACACCAAAGCTTTCCCAGAAATATGGCTCCATTTACAGCATCCAAATGGGGCCCAAGAAGGTGGTGGTCCTCTCTGGCTATGAGACAGTGAAAGAGGCTCTCGTTGGTTATGGTAATCAATTTGGGGAACGATCTCAAGTGCCTATATTTGAAAGAATTTTTAATGGAAAAGGTAATGAACTCTAAATTTAAGATATATTCCTGTGGTTAAAATTATTAAATCAGTTGTCCTCTATTTTCTTACATAATTCCTTCCATTGTTTGATTTTGCTTCATCAATATATATTACACAAATAGGATTCTAATGAAAAAAAAATAGTAATTTGTGGGCTTCATTCTTATTTTACATGATAACTACTTCTGTTAAATAATTACCTACTAAATGGAAAGTCTGATGTTAGATGTCAGGAAAATAAAACAAAAAGGAAGCAGAGGCCATCAATATAAAGAGATCATTAATGGTCTAATGCAGAAATAGATCCTGAAACAACATACTTAGTGTTATAAATATACAGAGCCCTATTTTTACCTGGATAAAATTGTTGCATCTTTCTTGTGTCTTTGCTAAATGCCCTGATGCAACATAGATACTCTGCTTTTGTGGCTTTCCACTAATTAATAGCTATTATTACTATTTTGGTACTAGAGATTGAACCCAGGGGTACTTTACCACTGGGCTACATCCCCAGTCCTTTTTATATTTTTTGAGATAGGGCCTTGTTTAGTTGACAGAGCTGGCCTCGAACTTGCAATGCTCCTGCCTCAGCCTCCTGAGTTGCTGGGACTACAGGTGTGGTCCACCGTGCCTGGCTACTAATTAATAACTCTTTAAAAATGGAAATAATTTCACTTTGACATTATTTATAGTAAACTCATATTGTCTCCTAATAAATACCACTAGGTTATTTTATTGCTTCAAAAACATTTCTAAAAAGTGCTTTCTGTAATATTGTCCACAAAACAGTAGTTTTGCAAGGTATAAGTGGATGTTCCCTGAGGTAAATTGGTCTCTCACGTGTCCATTAGCATATTAAAACCTCAGGAAACATCAAAATCCTATTTAACTTTATTCAATTTTCCACACATAGTAGTCTTGGAACATTTCTTTCCCTTCTAATCCCCACTAACACTTCATGAAATCAGCATTGAGGAGGTATTTTCCATTCAAGATCCCATGTCTGGAATTTCCAGGAGTCATCTGAGTCATCATCATAATTTTTTTTTTTTTTTTTAGAAAATTGGTACAATTTCTTACTTCTTGCCGCTAATCTTTTTCCACAAGAGCTCAAATTTGCTGATGAATGTAATGATCACACAGGAATTTTTTTTTTTTTTTGTACCAGGGATTGAACCCAGGGGTGATTAACCAGTGAGCCACATTCCCAGCCCATTTTAATGATTTATTAGAGATAGAGTCACACTGAATTGCTTAGGGACTCCCGAAATTGCTGAGGCTGGCTTTGAACTTGCTATCCTCCTGCCTCAGCCTCCCAAACTGGTGGGATTATAGGCATGTGCCACCATGCTCGACTTAACTTTTATCTCTCGCAATCTAACAAGTGAGCCAAGAATTCATTTTAAGAATTTTTTTTTTTTTGAGGGACACACTGCCACAGAGCTACATCCCCAGCCCCATTCTTATTTTTTAATTTTGAGGCAGGGTCTTGCTAAATAGCCTAGCTTGGGCTCAAACTTTAAATTCTCCTGCCTCAGGTTCCTGAGTTGCTGGAGGTACAAGCATGTGATATCATGCCCAGCCAAAAATCAGTTTGTTTGTTTTTTTAAGTGTCTTAACTGGTCATAGAAAATCAAAAGATAATGACTATATTTCCTCTTCCTGTGTCTTGCAATCTAAAATCATTCAAATGAGTATAAGCATGTTATAGACCAATTTTGCATAACCAAAAGATAATTTTATGTTTGATACCCATTAGACCATTTGGGGATATTTATTACATCAACTTGTTGTATAATTTAAATATATTTAGGGCCAGAGTGTCCTATACTTAAAATTTATATTTATATATTTAATAGCACTTCAATCTTTCATGGTCCTAAACTAATGTGCTAAGGGGCTGAGAAACATAACTTTATGGTAGAGTGCTTGCATAGCATGTGATAGGCCCTGGTTTTGATCCCCAGTACAGCAACATAACAACAATAATAATAATAATGATATTATTTACAATTACACAAATATTTTATTCTCTGAAATATACTGACTTCTGTGAGTCCTTAAGGGTCAAATACTGTATTCTGAAATGTGAAATGTAAAATTTCAAATATAAAATGGGATAGTCTGAAGAGTCACATATTTTATGAATGAGTTTTATGTAATACAGGAACCACAGGCAGAATATCATTGTATTAATCTGAGGATTTAGTGAGAAGAGAATCTAATCCTTCACTAGTATCCTTCCAAAGGAAGATCTAACATGAAAGGAGGAGGCAACAGTAACTCTGAACATATCTATTCTTTATTTTAGATTTCATGTTAAGACTAGCAAGGCTGATACTGCCCCATCTTCAATGCCCAGGCTGCCTTAGTATATTCTAGGTTTGTATTTATGATTATCAATTAAACATAGAAATTCCCCCAGTCTCTTTTGCCTTTATATAATATGAGGAAAAATGCAAATGGAGGAAGGTTTGGGTGTAAAGAATTGAAACAGAATGAAAAATACCACTATCACCAAAAAGCACCACTGGAAAGATGTGGGCAACCTTAGAAATCATCTTTTTCCTGATTTTTCTATGAAGTATGAGCATATGCTCTAAATCCTTTAGAAAACGTTTCTTGACTGATCATTATTATTTTGTGTAGTTATATACAAATTTGCTTATCTAATCAATAAATTTATTGAGAATTTATGTGTTAAAATATGTGTCTCTATAATTACTAGGTATAACACTTAATTACTTGATTACTATATAATCAAGTGGAAACTTGATTACAGTCATTGGTGATTATTTATTTCTAAATTTTTACTTGGGTGGTGTTGTATGTACTAGACTCTATTACTCCCTGGCAAAGAAAAAAAGGGGAAAAACTTTATTTACGATTATTCATCAACTCCTTAACCACATCCAGCATGATATAAGTATAAACTAGTTACTCAATTTATTTGAGTAATTGCCTATTTAATATGTTGAGGAAATATAATTTAAAACAAAACAAAATGTTTTCCCAATCTAGAAATCCTTTCCATGAAGCTGAGGAAAAGAAAACACTTTTATTATTGAACAAGCATTAAACCGGAATAATGTGTATCACAATCTGGTAAGAAACTACAAAAATAGAAAGGAACTTCAGCCTTTTGCATAGTCCAGCAGAAGGAACTTCATTACATACCCATTCTCAGGATAAACAATAACTAGTCCTCAAGAAAGCAGACTTAACAGCATTATTTGTTGCACATAGTTTATCCTTGATTCACCTGGTAATTCAAGTGGCCATCTGTATTAATTGAGTTTCAAAGGAAAAAAAATAATTTCCCAAATATTTATGACAGTTTTGCAATGTGGAGCAAGTGCCCCCTGAAATTAGACTCCTATCTTCACCCAGAAACTGAGTGATAGGACACAATCTCCCCTGAGGTTTACATTTCAAAGAGTTGACTCCTGGGTTCTTAAGAAATACATTCCTGGGTCTCAAGGCTGACAAATGGCCTATCTAGCTTTCAAAAAGACTTTATGTACAGAGAAAGTAGTTAAAAGGTTTATACAGTAAATACTCTACGAAAAAAAGAGGGAATTAGACATTTCTTCTCCCACCACCCTGCCCTCTCTTCTTTTCTATTCTCCTCTCTTTACATGCTAGGGACTTAACTCAAGACCTGGCTTATCTTAGGCAAGCATTCTACTAGTGAGCTATATCCTACATCCATTTTTCCATTATTTTTGACAGGAATAATTAAGACTTTTATTTTGAATTTTTATTTGTCTTCAAGATTTCAATTTTAAGCCAGATATGGTAGTATATGCCTGTAATCCCAGCAGCTCTGGAGGCTGAGGCAGGAGGATCAGAAGCTCAAAGCCAGCCTCAGCAACTTAGAGAGGTCCCAACCAACTCAGTGAGACACTGTCTGTAAATAAAATATAAAACAAAAAGGGCTGAGAATGTGGATCAGTGGTTAAAATGCCCCTGGGTTCAACCCTGGTGCCCCACCCACTGAAAAAAAGTAAATTAAAAAACTTTAATCTGAAGACATTTTTTTTTTCATTATAAGGAATTGCCTTCTCTCATGGTGAAACCTGGAAAATCATGAGAAGATTCAGCTTGACCACCTTACGGAATTTTGGAATGGGCAAGCAGATCATAGAAGATATAATTATAGAGGAATGCCAGCATCTCATACAGAACTTAGAGGCTCACAGAGGTATGTAGAACAAATGAAATCTCTTTGTTTTTCACGAGAAAGAAGTCAACAAAAGTTATCTTTTAATTTCTTATTTTTGACACAATTTCAGACTCTTAGAAAAATTTAAAGAATATACAAATCATTCCCAGTACCTTCAACTCTTCTTGAAGATTGTCAACATTGTACATTTGCTTGTGCCCTCTCGCTCTGTGTGCATGTATCTGCACATTATAATTTTAAATTTATTTATACATAAAATATAAAATTATATTTTTTCTTGACTGAGAGTTTTTGCAGACATGCTGTCCCTTCATTTTTAAATTTTCAACCGTAACACTGTCTTAACCACAGTAAACATCAAAAATCGTGAAATTTACATGATGTGATAGTATCATCTAATCTTCAGACTTCAGAACAATTTTGTCATTATCCCAGCAATGTCCTTTATAGCCAAGGAAAATCCTCGCTCAGGAATTGCATTGAGATGTCATGTTTCTTCTGCCTCCTTTAATCCAGAACAGCTTCTCAGTAATGAAGTTGTTTCTGATCGCTTCACATAATAAATTAGAATTGATTTCACATAATTTTTGTAAATATGTGGGAAGAATAATCAAAAAAATCTCATTTTTGTGTCAAGAGTTTTCCTCATTTCCTTATTAAAATGAACTCATTCCTTACTAAAAGGAGAAAGTTGGTATTATTCGACTGATGTAAAAACTTATGAAAAAAATGATCAAAGGTAGATAACAGAGGGCTCAAGGACCCATGTGCTAAATTAGCAGTACTTGTCAGAGAGTACTATCTTAGCAGTTTGGGGAAATTATGCATACAAAAGCGACTATTGATTCCCCAGTGTTAAGCTCCTAAAACACACTAACTACCCTGAGTTTTGTGTATACATCCTCCAAGTGTGTTTATTTTGTGTGGAAGAAGAAAAGGTATTCTCTTTTTAGGGCTCAGAAAACAACATCACAAAGTGATGATCTCAGAAACAAGGTTTTTCTCTGAACTGTCCTCCTGTCTCCTGCTCCCTTTTCTGCTTCTGTCTGAAGGCAAGTCATAGAAACTAGAATTTCTCTTCCTTTAATAATTTGTTTTGCTCAAGCAAACCATAAAACCTAGTAATGATATTCTAACCTTTCCCCACCTTTCTGTCATAGAACTGGTCAGCTATAAATAAATTCTCTGACCTACTCTGTCCCATACTAGTTCCTAAGGTCCTCACTTCTGAAGGGGCTCTACCCACTACCCAGAAGAAGGAATGAGCCACAGAGGGGTCAAGATGAATCTGAACTGATGTTTTCCCAAAATCTATTAGCAATAGATCATACAGTTTTTTACCCAATCATATTCTTATATAATGGTCCACACCTAATTAGACTGAAGCATAAAAATGAATTGTTCACACCATGTCTCTGGGTCTTCAACCTGAAGGCTACGGTGTCATATGAAGCTATGATCAAACATAGTTATGAAGTTCTTGTTACCTTGTCTCCTGGTTTAGGTGTGTCAGCCATGCTGTTTAATGTAAATGAAAAAGGGCCCATTCACTCCCCTTTCCACCTTCCCATTTCTCAAGTAAAGGAAAAGACATTTTCATTTGGATTCCCTAGGCTTTCAGTCTCTGCATTAAATATAGTAGCTGACTTAAGAGTAAAACTTTAGAACTAGAATTCTCTTCAGCCCAAAATAAATGCCCATCTATTGGTGAATGTTTAATAACTAAGCTACTTTCAACGATGCAGAGAAAACCAGGATGCAGCAGCAGAAGGGAGGAAAACAAGGAACCGCCCCCATGAAGTTCTTTTTTTTTTTTTTTTTTTTTGGTATCAGAGATTGAACCTAGGAGTGCTTAACCACTGAGGCACATCCCCAATTCATTTTGTGCTTTATTTAAAGACAAGGTCTCACCTTACTTTTTTTGCTGAGACTGGCTTTGAACTTGCAATCAATTTCGTGTCTCAGCCTCCCAAGACTCACCTAGATGTTCTCTCTCTCCTTTTTTTTTGCACTGCAGATTGAACCCAGGGGCACTTTGCCACTGAGCTACATTCCTAGCCCTTTTTAATTTATATTTTGAGACAAGGTCTTCCCACGTTGCTTCAGGTCCTTGCTAAATTGCTAAGTTTGACCTCAAATTTCTAGTTGCTGAAATTAAAGGTGTGTACCACCCCAACATGGCTAGATGTTCTATTTTTAACTTGAATGCAGCCTTAGGTTGAATGATTTTTTTTCCCTAGATAGACTGCATTAACACACACCCCACAGTACACACCCACAGAGACAGACAAATATTTAAACATACCTGGCATGTTTTTCTTTCTTCAATTGAGCCAAATGCAAATTTTCTTTTACATATAGTTTTCTAGGTAGCCATGTTTAGACAAATTCTGGGCGTTTGTTAAAGCTCATTCAAGTCTTATTGGAAGACTTGGAAGTTATGGTCACCAATAATCTCTATGACGTTTTTTCCTTCATTGACTGTCCCAATCAGTGAGGAACATGCCTAACACTGGTTTTGTGAATATTCCTAATCTGATTAATGAATTGTCTTGTAGGAAATCCATTTGAGATCACAACATTAATGAACGCTTCTGTTGCTAACATCATTGTCTCAGTGTTGTTTGGAAAACGGTTTGAATACCAAGACCCCCAGTTCCTGAGACTCTTAACCTTGATTGGTGAAAATGTGAAACTTGCTGGAAGTCCTAGAATTGTGGTAACTGTATCTTTCCCATTCACTTTTAGTTCCTCTGAGAAATATTTGATTGACCATGAAAAGAATTCATTAGAGAAGTGTTATTTCAAAAGTAGATATTTTCTGAAATGTTCTGAGTACAGTGATATGACAAATTTGTTTGTTTATACATATGATAATTCTCCTATCACCAAATGCTGCATGAAATACCTTGATGCAGGAATTGTTAATTCGGCCAGTATTGCATGCTTTCTTCTAATTTTAGCCACTTTTATTTTACGTATAGCAGTACTTATATGTGAAAAATGAAGTAAGCATTGAGTAAATAAACAGTCAGTTATGCTCAATTTGAAGAATAAATTTTAACAAAGGAGAACTACCAACTAGCCCCCTCAAAAAAAAAAAAAAAAAAAGAACCACAAAAGGCAGAATATAATCTTTTTTTTAGCAATACCTTTAATTTTATTTATTTATTTTTATGCGGTTATGAGGATTGAACCCAGGACCTCACATGTGCTAGATGAGCGCTCTACCACTGAGCCACAATCCCAGCCCCCAGAATATAATCTTAATACTTATTCTAATCCATACAAATTCACAATAGTGCCACAATCTAATTTCTTATCATTGTGAGTGACAAAGCCTCTGCATTCTAGGATCCAGGGGGGAAAGAGGCTTGTCCAAAAGTTATCATTTTGGGGGCTGGGGTGTGGATCAAGCGGTAATGCACTCGCCTGGCATGCGCGGGGTGCTGGGTTCAATCCTCAGCACCACATAAAAAATAAAATAAAGATGTTGTGTCCACCGAAAACTAAAAAATAAATATTAAAAAATTTTCTCTCTCACTCTCTCTTTAAAAAAAAAAGTTATCATTTTGAATAACACCACTGACAACCCTATTATTTCACTCTAAAATTTAGGCTGTGTGATTATATACCCAGATTTACTTCAAATACAGATTTTTAGAACAAGCAACTGTTCTAATTTTAGATGGGACCTTTTGTCTCTTATATAAGGAAAGTTTTTTGTGGGGACTCATAAACCCCTTTGAGAATATGACAAAGTATATAGACCTTATATCCACCAAAATTAACATACTGACAAACATAAAACTTAGCAAACAGTGAAGTCCTTTCTGAATTTTTTAAGAGTTAGTGGATAACAGATTAAATGGTGCTACTCTGTAAGACCTACAGACATTAAATCTGCTATAAACTTAAAAATTATTGTGATCCCACAGAAAAGCTTTACTGCCTTATGTAGAGCTAAAAGAGTTTGATTGTTTTCCTGGAATTACATGGGATTTTTTGAGAAAAACACTTGGGTTTATATCTCTGACCAAAAAGCCAATAGCGTTTTTATGTCCCACCCAACCTCTAACTAGACCTACTCCCATAGGAATGATATACCAATACTCTGGGCACAGAGACTTGTAAGCTATATTGATATTCATTATAAATTACTTAGTTCTGATGAATGTGGAAATTTCATTTGATAGTTCAGTCTGTCACTGTTGGTTGAGACAAAATTCAAGGTGTTATTTCTATAATGTTTTCAAAAATAATGTTGCCATTTGCATTACCACAACCAATTCATAGGTATATTTAATTTACTTTTTTAAAAATTCTTCTAGCTTTTTAATATGTTTCCTGTTTTGGGATTTCTCCTAAGAAGTCATAAGACAGTACTCAAGAATAGAGATGAATTATTTTCTTTTATAAGGAAGACCTTCCTCCATCATCGTCGTAAATTCGACAAAAATGATCCAAGAAGTTTCATTGATGCTTTTTTGGTCAGACAGCAAGAGGTAATGATGTTTTCTTCAGAGGCTTCCTTACCTTTTTATTTATTATTTAGTTTAATTAATAGCTTCTGGAGGAGAAACACTCCATCCATAGAAGAAAGATAAAAGTTTAATAATGGTAAACTTATATTCTCAGAATAATGCCATTTATTCCATTTTACAATCTTGAATACTTTCTGACACTTTCATATCATTCTCTGAAGAAAAGAAAGACATATATTTCTTACATGTTAGTTTTTGGAATTGTCATTCTTCCTCCCCCCCACCACACCACCCCATGATCTTGAGAAATGTGTTTTAATTGCCAAACCCAAGAATTTTTGAGTGCGGTGGTGGGGGGTGGGTAATTACTGGAGATTTAACCCAGTGGCACTCTGTCATTGAGTTATATCCCCAGTCCTTTATTTTTGAAACAGGGTCACCCTAAGTTGCTGAGTGTTTTACTAAATTGCTGAAGCTGGCCTCAAACTTGCAATCCTCCTGCCTCAGCCTCCTGAGTTGCTGAGATTGTGGGTGTGAGCCACCACATTGACTAAGAAAGATGATTTTATTTAAAAATTTCTTAAAAGAAACAGCTCTGGAAATAGTCCAATCACTCAATAAAGAACTAATCTGCAACTTTCCTACAATGGCAAACACTCTTTCTCATTTTTAGAATTATTTACCATTATCAACATCTGTGATATATGTACTTTGTCTCCTAAAATTCTCTACATTTGTATAAAGAAAATTCCTCTAAATTGAAGGAAGAAAGCAATGCATTGTTTTTATGAATTCATAGTTGGTAATTTGTTATAATCACCCATTACAAAATTATTTCATTGCTAATGATTCCTTTTACACTTTTAGGAGAAAGATGCATCTGCTGATTATTTCAGTGATGAAAATTTGGTGGCACTTGTTAGTAATCTGTTTGCAGCAGGTACAGAGACCACAGTCTCCACACTGCGCTGGGGAATTCTGCTCATGATGCGATACCCTGAGGTTCAGAGTAAGTTTTCAAGACTAAGCATCACCTGAAAAAGAGAAAGCAAAATTGTCTTGGACAGGACAATGCAGAATTCTATAGCCATGCTGGATACATGTAATTTGTCCCCTTGAGGCTAGTTTGTATTTTCAGATTCCTTTCAGTATGAGGAAGTTGGTTTTGCTTATTAAGCATCCTAAGATGATCTAAAGACCCTATGATATAAAATTTTCAGAGGATCCCCAGGAATAGAGACTGAGGAGGTGGGGAGAAATGCAGGAAAAAGAGCCAAGACTGGGAAAACACTTGGGTTTGACTTTCACAAGTAAAGAAAATAAGGAAGAGTGTTTCAACACCCATGCCCAGCCCAGACATTAATCACTGTAATTTCATTTTATCCAGAAAAGGTCTGTGATGAGATCAACAAAGTTGTGGGATTGGCCCAGCCCCGCATTGCACACCGTACTCAAATGCCGTACACAGATGCTGTCATTCATGAAGTACAGCGATTTGCTAACATTCTGCCCACAAGCTTACCCCATGCGACAACCACAAATGTTACATTTAAAAATTACTATATCCCGAAGGTAAGGGCTCAAGAAAGGAAGGTGAAGGGAGAGAGGTGTCAGATGATTGCAACCACAAATGCGCTGAGATAAACTGGCAAAGACAATCCTAGCATGCCTTTCCTGCCTCCCTCACTCCTTGGTGTCTTTTCTACCCCTTTCCATCTGGCTCTGCCTCCTTCCTTTGTCATCATTCAACAAAATGGGTCTATGCATGTATGTGTAATAATATAGATGACAATTATCCTCTGAAACTTCATAAGATATTTTAGGTTATAATTGAGAAAAACAGGTCTCAGAGAAGTTAAGCCATTTCAGGAATGACAGGTTTGTCTGCAAGGCAGCCAGAATTCCAAGTAAGCCATAACCTTCAGAGCCCTGTGCTTCTGCCATGCAGGCCTCTCTCCAGCAGCACCTCCATGCTTCACTTCTGTCCTCACACAGAACCATGTATATATACCCTCTGCTTCCCAATGTGAAAACATCTAGATGTAACCCTCTAATTTCCATGGTAAGCTGGGGAAATATGTATATGCACGTAGCTCTTTTCCTTGATATCTAGTCTGTCCACTGCTTATGGGCCCATTTCTACATGAATCCACAGAGTCATTGGGTATGTGAACCCTGACCACATTATTATCATTTCCTATTTTTCAATCACCTGTGAACCAGGAGACATGTTCATCTGTGGAGCTTCACTTCTTGGCACAGATTAAAAACAGTGTAGGTCTGAATTAACCAGATTAGCAATGAAATAGAAAACCAAATACAATGTTGTGTCAGCTCCTTTTACCTCACTAAAGTCACTGAGACAACAAACTAAATTATAAGGTAAATGGTTTATCTTTTGGCAGTTCAAGTCCAAGATCAGTCAGTCCCATTGGTTTGTACCTCTGGTACTGAAAGCAGTGCTTATTGGAGCAAGCAGTTACACCTCAAGCCAGAAATAGAGAAAGACCAGGGTCCCCCAAATCCTCTTTGAGGGAATGTCCCCAGAGACCTAACAACCTCTCTCTAGGCTCCACTTCCTAGATGTTCCACCACTTCACCATAGCACCACCTTGGGGACCGAGCACTGAAGGTGAACACTTGGGAGATATTACCCACATTCAAACCACAGCAAATGTTTTTTAAAAAAAAAAAAAAGTTAACATGACCCAAAATATGAACAAAAAATTATAACCAGTGAGTGACCCTGTTGATTCATGTAGAGATGTATCCAGAAGCAGTGAACAGATTAAGTATCAAGGAAAAGAACTAGGGCTATGTGTGTGTGTGTGTGTGTGTGTGTGTGTGTGTGTGTGTGT